ATGTTGTATTTATGTCTTCACGTTTAACAAGTAAAGTTTAGTTAATGTTAACTCTATAAAAGCTGTATGTTGTATTTATGTCTTCACGTTTAACAAGTAAAGTTTAGTTAATGTTAACTCTATAAAAGCTGTATGTTGTATTTATGTCTTCACGTTTAACAAGTAAAGTGTAGTTAATGTTAACTCTATAAAAGCTGTATGTTGTATTTATGTCTTCACGTTTAACAAGTAAAGTGTAGTTAATGTTAACTCTATAAAAGCTGTATGTTGTATTTATGTCTTCACGTTTAACAAGTAAAGTGTAGTTAGTGTTAACTCCATAAAAGCTGTATGTTGTATTTATGTCTTCACGTTTAACAAGTAAAGTGTAGTTAGTGTTAACGACAGAACACTGTTTTATAAATTATTTCGATTCTGATCACCAGTGGTTTTTAAGATCTCAGATTAATTTGGACTGAAATAATTAGAATTACATTTACTCGTTATACCATTAAAGAAACTTTCTCTAAAAGTCGTGTTTGTATTTCAACGTAATAGTTACTGTTTCTGTTTTCAGAACAAACTGATAAACTTCAGACACTTACTACGAGGTTTTGTTGCTGAATCTATTTATTTTCTATTATTACATGAAATCATTTTGGAATAAGTGATGAGAATCTGACTCCAAGAAAAATATCTTTTACATCGTGAATTGATATCAAAAATATATATATACATGAAATGCATTTGTTGAAATCGGTTTTTAAACCTTTAGAAAAACCAGAGTACAACAAACACCTATCTTTGGTACAAAATAGTTTATCACCACCAGCCATAACCACCTCCGTAGCCACCATATCCTCCACCACCATGACCACCATAGCCACCATATCCTCCACCACCATGACCACCGTAGCCACCATATCCTCCCCCACCATGACCACCGTATCCTCCACCACCATGACCACCGTAGCCACCGTAACCACCATATCCTCCACCACCATGACCACCGTAGCCACCGTAACCACCATATCCTCCACCACCATGACCACCGTAGCCACCATATCCTCCACCACCATAACCACCGTATCCTCCACCTCCATGGCCACCATAGCCACCATATCCTCCACCACCGTAGCCACCATAACCACCATATCCTCCACCTCCGTGGCCACCGTAGCCACCATATCCTCCAACACCATAGCCACCATATCCTCCACCACCGTGGCCACCATATCCTCCACCACCGTGGCCTATACTTCCGCCGTATCCATAACCAGACTCTGCTGTTTCAAGGTCTTCTTTGCCATCAGAGACGGCTGTGTTCTCATCTGAATCTTCGGCATTGACTATGGCACAGACAGCTAACAGAAGTGCCAGGTACCGCAGTTTGTTCTGGAAATAAATCCAAAATAAAATAAGAGATATAGATAAGAGAACTTAATGTTGCATAGATATATAGTCTAACGTCAAGTAAGTAAGAAAATAAAATAAGAGATATATAGATAAGTTTGTTTGTTTGAAGTTAAGCACAAAGCTACACATTGGGCTATCTGTGCTCTGCCCACCACGGGTATCGAAACCCGTATTCTAGCGTTGTAAGTCCGCAGACATACCGCTGTGCTACTGGGGGGCATATAGATAAGAGAAGTTAATGTTGCATAGATATATAGTCTAACGTTAAGTAAGTAAGAAAATAAAATAAGAGATATAGATAAGAGAAGTTAATGTTGCATAGATATATAGTCTAACGTTAAGTAAGTAAGAAAATAAAATAAGAGATATAGATAAGAGAAGTTAATGTTGCATAGCTGTTATAGTCTAACGTTCAGTAAGTAATATGTTTGGTATAAGACTATCAGGGCGATAATAGTAAAATGCACGTACCGGTTTATACCTAATCGTCTTCATACTGAAATAAATCTTCAAACAAGCTGTTCAGACTTCTCCTGACTGCAAATGGAGAGAAGAAGACTGTCTTGGTTGGTAAAGACGAGAAGTTTTTATAGTTGATCCAGACATGGTCACGTGACATGGTTGTAGGTAGAACGTGACAGTATCGCTCTACTTTTGACAAAATGTTGAATATCACGGCAATGAAGTAAATAGTGTGATAATCATCTAACAAAACAAAGGCGATTAAAAAAAAGGAAGAATTCAAACTGGTTTTTACCCTGCTGCGGCTTTTCGAAAGTTTATCGGTCTCTTTAAATACACTTCGCGAGAGGTTAACGAAATCCTTGTATTATCATTATCTCATACACGCCCTTATTCACTCAATATGGAATGAAGTAACGAAAAAAATAACATTTTAAGATCAGAAACAGAACACTCTCTAGGAATGTGCAGCGAAGTAACAGTATTAAACAAATAGAACAAATATATATATATATACGGATATTTTAGTCATACTTACTGAATAAAATAAACAGAAAGTCTTATTCCACCAGGTAGCGTTACACGCGTTGGTGATATTCTTAAGTAAGTTTGTTCTATTTTCTTGCAGTAAATCAGAATTTAGCTTTTTAAAAATTAATAAAATAAATGATGCTTGAAAATATTTCTGTCGTTGTCATTTGAAAACTTAAATTGTAAAGAGACATATTTTTCTGTTTTTAATTGAATAGAAGAATTTCCCAATTTTCATGTTATTCCGAAACTAACAAAAATGTAGAATATTTTCACAAAAAGACATATTTTTCTGTTTTTAATTGAATAGAAGAATTTCCCAGTTTTCATGTTGTTCCGAAACTAACAAAAATGTAGAATATTTTCACAAAAAGACATATTTTTCTGTTTTTAATTGAATAGAAGAATTTCCCAGTTTTCATGTTGTTCCGAAACTAACAAAAATGTAGAATATTTTCACAAAAAGACATATTTTTCTGTTTTTAATTCAATAGAAGAATTTCCCAGTTTTCATGTTGTTCTGAAACTAACAAAAATGTAGAATATTTTCACAAAAAGACATATTTTTCTGTTTTTAATTGAATAGAAGAATTTACTAGTTTCATGTTGTTCTGAAACTAACAAAAATGTAGAATATTTTCACAAAAAGACATATTTTTCTGTTTTTAATTGAATAGAAGAATTTACTAGTTTCATGTTGTTATGAAACTAACAAAAATGTAGAATATTTTCACAAAAAGACATATTTTTCTGTTTTTAATTAAATAGAAGAATTTCCCAGTTTTCATGTTGTTCTAAAACTAACAAAAATGTAGAATATTTTCACAAAAAGACATATTCTTCTGTTTTTAATTAAATAGAAGAATTTCCCAGTTTTCATGATGTTCTGA